CGCCCAAAAACTATTCCGACTCACAAGAAAAGGTTGAGTTGGAGTCCAGTCGGAGTTGCTTGCCTGGACGGCGATCGCACACTCAGCTAGGGTTTTCACCGGTTACACATTGAGTGTTGATGTTATCTTATTAGCCTGATGTTCGAATTTTAGTTAATAAACCTACACTTGTTAGATTAAATTATAAAAGTAGTTGCCATTTTAGTTAATTAAACTAGTAAACTAGTTCGAATTTTAGTTGATAAAACTACACTTGTTAGATTAAATTATAAAAGTAGTTGCATTTTTAGTTAATTAAACTAGTAAAGTAGTTCGCATATTAGTTAATTAAACTACACTTGTTAGATTAAATTGTAAAAGTAGTTGCAATTTTAGTTAATTAAACTAGTAAACTAGTTCGAATTTGAGTTAATAAAACTACATGTTGGTCCAAAATAGGACGCTCGTAGGCTTTTAGGAAAGCTACGTACGACACTTAAGTGGGAATCAAAAAAGTAATATGAATAAGGAAAGTTGCAAAGGGGATTTGGTAGCCAGAAATAGCATGTAGAATTCGCTTCCTTAGTTTGAATTACAAAGTGCCTTTTATAGGCGTATACAATTCGTAACTGCTACCGATAATAATGACTAATTAATTACAACATTAATACAGAATTAAATACATAACTAAACGTGCATTAATTGCTTGACTGTTACTTTTCCTGGCTGGGAGGTCGGCCGGACTGGCAGGCTCCCCGCTTGGCTGGCAGACAAGCTCCAGGTTGTGGACTTGGATCCACGAGTTCAAGTTCGGGGCTTGGGCTGATTAGGCTCTGGGCCTAGTCTCATTACTCCATCACGAGTCCCCCACTCCCTTAGTCGAGTAGTAGACTCGGCTAAGAGAGAGTAGTCCAAGTCAGTTGCTCTTCTCCGAGACTAGAAGATCCCCGCCCTTGTCCATGTTGGGGAGATGCCTCATTAAAAACCTTCATCGGGAAAAAAACCAATGGGAAAAAGTCCTAATGAAGGGGACAAGAGTATATCTGATGCCCCCAAAATGACGCAAGAGGTGAGATCCTCAACCTTTATTGCAATGGTCGCCATCTGCAAATAGGATGCCAAGAAATGTTCTTCTCGTCGGGCTCAGACTTGTCAGGTTCGTCATTTGCTTCCTTGAAGATGGTAAGACCCTCAGTCCCCCACGTCATTCAGTTGTACCTACACATAAAAGAAACTAGTGTAGAATAGAGCATCTGGCCTGGTGTCGAACCACGGCTCAGTATGTAAGTGAGTCGGACTCACTACTTGAAAAGAGTGACATCAAGTTCCCAAGTTAGGCCTCAACCCAGCCTCCGAAAGAAAGATTGAATCCGCGAGTAAGTGAGGCGGACTCCTCACTCGAACGGATAATCCAACCCCAGAGAACTAAAGTATATCAACCTCTTCGAGAAATGTGAACGTCAATTAAGTGACAACATTGCTCGGAAAAGCGTGGCTCTAGGCCCCTAACAAGAGTTTAACTCGCCGCCCGAGGTTAGTAGTTCGAACCCGCAAGCAAAGACTTTTGAACGGGTGACTCGTCCCTCGAGGTCGGAGTGTAATGCACTAGGAAGAGGTAAGAGCACGCAAGAACCCGTAAGAAGTCAAGAGTGTGAGGTATTAACATTTATATTGGAGCTTATTATTCGCCACACCCATATGACATGACCCGGTGGCGCGAGTGTGTGTGCTCGGCCATTGTACAAGTGTGTGTGCTCGTCCGGTGTATGTGAGTGATCGGATTTCATAAGTCCGTTTTTCAATGTTAAAATTACACACGCTCAACAAGAGTTAAAGCAATTACACCACTTAAAATATCTTTTCAAATGTTTCAATTTATAATTTTTTTTTGTAATGTATCAAATATAGAGGATTTTTGGATACTTAGCTTTTTTGAATTGGGCTGAAAATTGAATGTGTTGCTGTGATGGACCGGGCCAATGATAGGCTCCCACCGTCTTTGTCTTGGTAGCACCTAACTTATGGGCCGAGAGTTGCACTCAAGTAAATGCACTCAGGGTCCTTGGAGATGACTTTGGGCTGGAACCAAAGAGCAGCAGAGAGGGTGCGTCTGACAACGCCCTCGCTCTGAATCCTTCTGCTAGAGGGACTCCCGGCGGCCACGGCCATGACTCACCTGCACTTGAACCATCGTTTCCTTCCTGGTCCTTGAGTTGCGACGTCAACTGATGCGGAAGTGGAGCTAGCAAAAGTGAAGCAGGCGTCGTTACGAGAGAGGTGGCAGAGTCGGCACAAGAAGCTTTGTACTTCGCCGTTGGCCGCTGAACGCTCAACACCGGGTTGGTGCGGACTGGTCAGAAAACCGCCGGTCTGCAGGTCCATTGTGGCGGAGTTGGTTCTTGGGGCGTCTGTAGATCCACCGTGGGTTCTCCAGGCCGCAGATTCGTGGTGGAGCACGGCCCTACGGTGATGTCGCTGGTGGTGGTTGGCACGGTTCCAGATTCCGGTTGCTTCTTTCGATGAGTAATTGCAGATCTCATTTCCAAATTTTCCTTTTTTTCAGAATAGATTTTTGGCCGTTTTTTTTGTAATTGGGATGAAATTTTTGGATATTTTGGATGAATCGCACCTGATTTTGCTCAAAGACAGTGTTTTTCTTGATTCCTACGAAAGTGATGTGAGAGACACTAGAGGCTCTCAATGAAAGCACCAATGTTGGTCCAAAATAGGACGCTCGTAGACTTTTAGGAAAGCTACGTACGACACTTAAGTGTGAATCAAAAAAGTAATATGAATAAGGAAAGTTGCAAAGGGGATTTGGTAGCCAGAAATAGCATGTAGAATTCGCTTCCTTAGTTTGAATTACAAAGTGCCTTTTATAGGCGTATACAATTCGTAACCGCTACCGATAATAATGACTAATTAATTACAACATTAATACAGAATTAAATACATAATTAAACGCGCATTAATTGCTTGACTGTTACTTTTCCTGGTTGGGAGGTCGGCCGGACTGGCAGGCTCCCCGCTGGGCTGGCAGGCAGGCTCCAGGTTGTGGACTTGGATCCACGAGTTCAAGTTCGGGGCTTGGGCTGATTAGGCTCCGGGCCTAGTCCCATTACTCCATCACTACACTTGTTAGATTAAATTATAAAAGTAGTTGCATTTTTAGTTAATTAAACTAGTAAAACTAAGTAGTTTGAATTTTAGTTAATTAAACTATGCTTGTTAGATTAAATTATAAAAGTAGTTGCATTTTTAGTTAATTAAACTAGTAAAGTAGCTCGAATTTTAGTTAATTAAACTAGTAAAGTAGTTGCAATTTAAAGTATTTATTTTTTGCATCGTTTTTGTACTCATATTAACATATTTGTTACAATTTCATATTTGTTACATTTCTAAATGAAACGTGGTAGAGATTCTGTGGATTTGGGTAACCTCCAACGCAACCGAAAGTAGGAGATTGAGAGGAATCATCCTAATTCAAGCATAGGTAAAAGACATATCGGGTCTTTTTCTCAAAGCCGAGATGATTTTGAAACTGATTACCAACGGAGAGATGCGAATGAGATGTCCGACGTGCAACTACAATAACTATTGTCAGTCCTTACCAAACTTCTAGTGTGTTTGTCCAAAAAGATAAAAACTTCCGCTGTCAATCCTAAACCTCTCGAAAGGTTCCAAGGATTACACTCATTCAGAGGGGAGTGAACATTTAATCAAAAAGCTTAAAAGTCTATTCACCCCCCCCCCCCCCCCCCCCCCCCTAGACTTTTATCAAGGACCTTCACACAATATTGCAACGCACCCCCCTCCCCCGACACGAACAACTTCATCTAAAGGAAAATCATTTTTTAAATCAACATTCGGCAATCTTATGAAAAAAAGTAAATCAACTCCCGTTGTTGAACAAATCTCAGTTAACGAGTTTTCTTTGTATCTAACATTTCCTTTTGACATTGAAGAAGATGATGATGACTTTGACGTTTTAAAGTGGTGGAAGGATAAAGAAAGAACGTTCCCGTTTTAGCAAAGATGGCTAAGCAAGTGTTATCAATGCCGGTTTCAACACTTGCTGTGGAACAAGAATTTAGTGCGGCCGACAACGTTCTAACGGATTATAGAACGAGATTGAGCGCAAACTCTCTTGAGACGCTTATTTGCTACCATGATTGGTTGAAGGCCCAACGTAGAACTCAAGAACTTAGTATCACCCCCACCCAACACTTTATGGAGGAAACAACAATCGACGGTGGCGGAGATTCCGATTGATTATTTGATTATTCTTTATCACTTTATTACCCAACACTTTACACTTCATGTTTTAATTTTTTACCTAATTCTCAATTGTAGACTTGTAGTTCATATATCAAATAAATATACGTTCAGTTTTTTGTATGTAGCACTTCTTGATTTAATTTCTTAAACTAAAATAAATAAATAAATAAAAATCGACTCGACCCAGCCCGGCTCGCTACCTGGGCGGGTAGCCCGGCCCGAACCAGTACCGCCAGACACCCGGGTTGGTCCCGGGCTTACTACCAAACAACGAAAGCCCGACCGGGCCAAGCCCGGAACCGGAACCGAACCGGGCCGGGTCCATCACTAATCTTATTTTCCTCTTGTATTGCAAATGGATATTTATCTACGGTTCCTGGTTTCTTGTATTGAAGACATAAAAACTGATGTCTTGAAAAATTAAGTCATCGTACGTAGTAATGAGTAGAACTTTAAATTTCACTTGTTTTCAAATGTATATACATCGATTATTTATTGATACAACTGTCTATTTTGGAATTTGTATACATCGGAAAGGATTGAATGCCTATTCCGCCATTTTTACACAAAATAAAATTAATGTAATTTAGTTATTGGAATTTATTTTCACATTTTTTAATTTTTCATTTACTTTATAGAATTCTAAGGGAGTCCCGCCTTCGAAAGGGACTCATGTCTAAACTCATTAAAGGAAAAATCCTCACTTTAGTCAATACTCAATATATTAGCATTTAGCCTTTACTACTCCATTGAAGCAAACCAGATCAGCACGGCAACAACTGTATAAATTCAACATTCAAATCTTCAACAAGTGTCTTACTGAATTTGATCCAAAGCTCCAAAAATAACATGTCAAAGCATTGGAATAGCAATGCTCAACGAGTGGTTGTGCATAAAAAAAGTGTAGACCGTCTACATCAAATGACTTCAATTCCTTTCTGAAGATTATGCAACTTGAGACACAATCTTAAATGGTAATAATGAATTGACCACATGGATCCCTGAAACTCGAATATCACCATTCTGGCCTATAGTTGATACATACATTTAATCAAACACTACATACCAATCTGAAGTTGGGTTTCCGCTTTTCTTTCCAATCCATTGTTCCTTAGGGAATAATTACTACTCCGTATATAAATTAGGGACGGAGAAAGCATTTTGCACTACAGGAGGTGAATTAAATTTTTCCAGTTTCAGGGTGAATTTTCAAATTCATTAAAGATTTTTCAAAAAAACAGCACAGAGATTATAGTCTCACAAAATCAAGTGAAGGGTAGCTACCCCTCCAAGCTCAGTCCCTGAGGTAAATAATCCATAAAGAAAGATATTTGGCAGGCAATTCCTATGTATGATCTCACCTCTTTGATCTTTTCTTTGCTTGTTTTGTAGCCAATGTCTCAGATCGATCCAACTCGAGATTTGGTTTACTCAATTGAGGAGTAGGAGCTGCAGCTCTCTTGGGTGGCCTATCAGAGACCTTCTTGGGAAGGCTTCTCTTTTGTATTGCCTTGCTATCATCAGCACTGAGTGGGGTGCCCTTCAGTGCATGTATGAGTGATCCGCTGTTTGAAGAAGAGCTCTGCTTCATTCTATTTAGGAAATTTGCTGCACCTCGTTTCTTCAAGTCAGTGTTAAATTGGATAATTTTGTTATCATCGTTATTATTCTCACTTTTGGGCGGTTTATTCTCCCGCTTTCTTTGGGACTTTTCTGGAACAACTGCAGCTGATATTTTGCTAGGGTTGGTGCTAGCGAAATTCTTCTCGGTTCTCGTTTCTCGCGCTCTCTTCTTAGTGATAATCAGTCTATCGTCTGGTCTTCCTACCATTTGATATTTTTTATCAACACCAGAGGAAGATCTTGATGATTTTGGATCAACAATAGAACTGCGCTTATGGCAAACAACCAATGATTTTGGATCCTGTTTGGAGGAGTGCTTAGGGTTTTCTTCCTTGGGGAATGGTTTTAGCTTTATAATAGACTTCTGCTTTAAGGGCGGGGAATAGAGCTTGGCTCTTGACATCTCCATGGAGATGAGCTGTCGAAGCTCTATAGCCCCAGTGAATTCAGATGTATTCTTCTTCCTGAAGAAAATGATAGCGTTGTTTACTAGCACCAGTAAATCACGAAAGAATTTGGCTTTGCAATCTATGTAACGTCCTTCTTCAAGCCATGTTCGAATTGTTCCAAGATCAATATGTTGTCTGATTAAAAGCTTGTAATCTTCTGTTTGCTGAAAATATTGAGTCGCAAGACCGTCACAATATATCAGGCAGGCTAAGAGAAGACCAAGACCATTACATAACATAATAATTTATGTTTATAAGTTCCAAATATAAATATACAATATAGAAAATAAAGGTACTCAAAGACTCTAAGAGGCCGTTTGGCAACACTGTTTTTCGACTTATCAGACTTATCAGCCAACTTTTTCATCATACACATAACTTTTGCTTTCGCGCGCTGAATTGGGTAATAAGCGGAAAAAATAAAGTTGGAGTTACTTTTCTGACTGTATTGGCTGAAGTTACTGTAGATAACCATTTTAGCTATTTTTAAATATAATTATTTCTTTATTTTATTAATATAATACGGAGTATATTTTAAAATTATTTTTTTCTTAAATCAGCCAACGCAGTCACTTCAGTCAGAACTTCATAAATTTCATCAGAATCAGTCAAATCAGCCGATTTTCGTGCTACCAAACGGGCTCTAAGAAGCCGTTCTTTTCGTCTTATTGTTACGGAGTACTCCCTCCGTCCCGCTAACATTGTGTCACTTTACCTTTTCGGGAAGTCCCACTAAGATTGTTTCATACCAAATTTGGTAAAGATTGTGTGGCTCTAAGTCATTCTTACTTTATTCTTATTTTATCAATTTAATATCAACCACACAAACCCACTTTTCTTAATAATCATGCCACCTTCTCTTGTCCCAATCTTGATGGGACGGAGATAGTATTACTTATTGCTTATTCTTATTTAATTCACATCAGATCAGAAAAATTCAGACCATTTCAGAAAGATTCAGATCAAATCAGAAACATTCAGATCAAATCAGGCCAGATCAGAAACATTCAGATCAGATCAGAAACATTCGGATCAGATCAGAAAAGTTCAAACATCATTTATTATTATTATTGTTGTTGTTGTTGTTGTTGTTAGTATTGTTATTATTGATTGTTATCATTGTTCTCATTGTTCTCATTGTTGTTATTCTTGTTATTATTGTTATATTAGTATTCTTATTCTTATTACTACCTCAGTCCCAATAAACTTTGCACTTTTGGAATTAGGTGAGAAATAAGTAGAACCACAAAATAGTTACTTTAATAGGAAAGTGGTAAAGTCCAATGAGACGGGGGGAGTATTATTCTTATTATTCTTATTATTACTCTCTCAGTCCAATGGAACAGAGGGAGTATTATTACTACCTCAGTCCCAATAAACATTGATTTTATAAATGCATTGATTTTAATATTTGATGATTAAATTATTATTTAACAGTGTTAATTGTTTCATACAAGTAGAAAGTAGTAAGAACATGGAGTACAAAGGAGGGGAGTAGAATAGAGTACAAAATAAGAGTGCAATTCAGGAATGAATAAAGCCAATTCCTCACCTGGCTCTCGAGCTGGCGCGTGAACAAATAACCGAGCCTGTGGCTTTCAATCTTTTGGAGAAATTTGATCAACGGTTGGTATGCAGCAGGCATCGCTTTTGCGGTGGGAGAGCCATTCGTGTGCCCACGCTCATGGCAGCTGCGACTACGCGAATTTGCTCTATCGGAATTATCTGTATTCCTCGATTTGCTAACTGAGCTCTGCACATCAGAGTTCTCTTTCGTACTCTCCTCCCTGCCTTTTGATTCGGCTACCGATTCGAACAAGTCCGCCGAGTCCGTCACCGGTTCTGCTTTCACCGCCTCCAGAACCGGATTCTCCTCCACGCTGTTGGAGCTGCAATTACATGAACCCACTCGACCCGGTTTACCATCTTCTTCTTTGAGCGGTTCATCTTCTCCATTTCCCGTTCGTACCGCTACAGAGTGTTTCCGATCGTCCTTTTCGCCAATTCGCGCGTTTACGTCTTTTCGGTCCGTTGAATTCGATTCATTCACCGACTGTTGGTCCTTCTCGCCGGTCAGTGGTTCTCCCGCGTTCGATTCCGGTGTGATCACAGCGTGACCTTCGTTTTTATTCTCACTGCGAATGTCTCGATTCTCCCCACTAATCGCCAGATCTGAGCTCTCGCCCTCTGGGAGACTCCGATCTCTCTCTTCCGTCAGCGTCCTCACCTTCGATTGCAGAGACCTAGATCACAATCAGAGATATTTCATTTTTCTTCAGCAAAACGTGAAGAGAAAACAAAGCAATCATCAATCAGCATTCAGATCTTCAAATTTCGATACATATATATATATGCACATGAATGTATGGGAATATGCGAATTACAGGATGGAGAGGTCATAGCGCTCAACTTCGCGTTTCAATTCAGCGACTCGGACCTTCCGCAACTCCTCTAGCAAAGGTGCAGCCGTCTCAGTTCGTTCACTATGCTCATCACCGACACCGTTAACTCCGCCGGAATAAAAACGGCGCGTGAGATGAAAGTATTTCAGTTTACAGCTTTCAGGCGATAGCGTCATCATCGGAACGGAACTCCGTTTCTGGAGCTCGACGGCGACGCAGTCCCAATTTTTGGTGCCGTGGCGGTTGACGGCACACGCTAACAGCAGTTCCTCCCACGTGCTCCAACGTGCCTCCTGCTCCGGCGTATTCTCCGACGTTCGGTGCGATTTGTCCATAAACGAGTGCCAAAAATTGCCGGATGACCCGTACTTTCTGGGTGAATGCCTCCGTATAGAGCAGTCTATTTTTTAATCTTTTCCGTTGTACTCCGTATACAAAATAGTCTAATTTCTCCCTACTCTTTTGTCGGGCTAAGCTGTGCTGTCTTGCTTGTAATTTGTTCCCGATCCATCAAAACCTAAGGCCATTTGCCAATGATAAAACTGCAAAAAATTGTTTACTTTGATATTCAAATTTGGGATGAACAAATGTCAATGCATTCAATTTTTATTATTATCCCTAATATTCTAAAAGCAAAAAAGCACAAATGAGGGTCTTTCGATGGTGTCTATATTACTTATTAGTGTGCTATATATACATTTGCCTATCCAGCAAAATAACAACCCTACACATGGATATTTTTAGGATGGTTTTTCTAAAATATTACTAGTAAAAAAAATATGAACAAATTTGTGACTATAAGTTACTCCGTATTATAAATAAGTTTTATAGTTAGATGTAACTTTGAATACAATTAGTGCCCATTTGGTAGTCCAGTTTTTCGGCTCATCAAGCTTATCAATCAACTTTTTCATCAAACACATAATTTTCGATTTCGCGCGTTGGATTGTGTAATAATAAGGAAAAAGTAAAGTTGAAGTTACTTTTCTTGGTCCAAAAAAAAGGTGAAATCTCCCACCCCAGGAGCTCCTCATACCCCGACCCGACAGGATTTTTGGGAGGATGTTAATCACAGTGACTCAGTCGGCCCAATGATGGTAGGCCTTTTTCCCGTGCGCACCAGAGGTCCAGCCTTATTTCAGGTTCTGTGACCTCCACACGGCCGTTGCGGGTTTCGAACCTTAGTCACTTGGTCCAAATTTCCCACCACTGAACCAACTGAGCTACCCGTGTGGGTTTGAAGTTACTTTTCTGGCTGTATTGGTTGAAGTTACTGTAGAGGACCATTTAAACTATTTTTACATATAATTTTTTCTTTATGTTATTAATAAAATATATTTTACATATAATTTTTTAATAAATAAATAGAATCAGCCATTTCAACCACTTCAGTCAGAATTTTGGTATTTTAATAAATTTCAGCCGAATCAGTCAATTCAACCGATTTTGGTATTATCAAACAGGCTCTTATAGTCAGTTACTAAGATCACAATTTGTTCGATCCTTTTATGTTGGTTATACATTTAAAATTATTTCTATTTTTAACACGTACACAAAGCACGTTATTTAATTCAAAGATCAACTAATTTTCATTTCAGCTCCTCTCTTAAACGTTTTTGTTTTGATGATGCAACAAAATTCTTTCTCATCACAAACGCGGAAAGAAAGTAAGAAACAAAGACGGTGCAACAACGCAAATTTCTCACAATCAAATGTGGAGAGAAAAGAACACAAATTCGTTTTTGTAATAAATAAGAGTATGTAGGTGTTTCCTGGCCCCTACCTCCACAAACTTTCAGGTTTCTTACCTAATACCGGGGCAAGAGAAAAAAAAGAGAAAATAAAAGAACGTAGATATATTAACGCTGCGAATAAGTTTAGGCTTTTTTCGCCACCTCTCACAAGCTAGATTGACATATTGGTGGTGTGTTTGTCAATTGGTCGTTGCTGTTGGCCGTTAGCCGATTCTGTCAACTGTTTTATTATAGCTGTTTCTATTGACTGTTTTGATTAGCTGATAGTATTAGCAGTTTGTAAAACGGTGTTTGGTAAAAATGACTGTTTAGAATCAGCTGATAACTTGTCAAATGATCTTTAAGGACATCAATTATTTTTTTAATTGTGCATTTATAAATATATATATATATATATACACATACACACACAAGTAAAAATACATTAAGAAAATTTGTCTAACAAAAGTAAAAAATGCATTTAAATATTAATGTCACCATAATCAAAATACTAACAGTCACTTAATTGTAATGGTAACGTATCTTAAAAAAACAATACTATTCTCTAAGAACGTCTTTTCCTTGCCATCAAACTAGATGCAATATTATCACGAATAACTGTCATTTCACGGACTCTCATATGTCCAACGCCTTGTCCAGAAGTAGACTCAACGTCGCGAAATATATCATCTGGTATGAAATCTGGATCTCGATCAATGATATTAAAACCTGGATCCCTAATCGTACTTTTCCGAATGTAGTTATGTAATGCAAAACAAGAACAAATTATCTTATTCTGGTCATGTAATGAATATATGGACATTTTTTGTAATATCCTCCACCGCGCCTTAAGAACTCCGAAAGCTCTCTCAATGCAGCTTCTTAGTGATGAATGTGCTCGATTAAACACTTCTTGAGATCCCCTTGGATTTGCAGCACGAAATTCCGTTTGATGATACCTTGTCTTGAAGTAAGGGGTGAGATACCCTTGTCTTTCTGGGAAACCTTTATCAACTAAATAATATTTACCTATATATATACATAAAAATAATGTTACAATATTTATTTGCCATGCGCTTAGTATAAAAAAAATAACTACCTGGTGGTGGTTTTGGGAAATTTAGACTCGGGTTATTGATCGCATCGAGGAAAATGCGAGCATCATGTGCTGTCCCCTCCCATCCGGTCAAAACATATGTGAATAATAAATTAAAATCACATTGTGATTACACAACCTGTATTAATCAAAACAAACTTGGACAACCCGTTAAGGTAATGCAATTACTTCGCTACTTTATTATGATAGTCCATTGATTGTTTCTATTGCATAGCGGTGTCCAAAATATCAGCCAAACTTTTCAACCTAACCATTTACTGTCTGCCACAGTCACTGCCCACAGGAAGCTCCACTTGTTGTCCACTTACATGTGTTAAGCATGCCAACAGGGCACAAAGTTTATTCAATGCCTCAAAAACCAAAACTTCATTTAAATCCTAAGGACTCGATGGTTTTAATTTAAAGCAATACTAGTGTGACACTGGGTTTCCCGATTCTGTAAATTAACCCTATGAAATTATCCTTAGAATCACACTTTGTATTGCATCTTGCATCTTAATTCATGTAACTGCATATATGTAATTTCAGAAATATACATCCTTAGAATCTCACTGTAATAGTCCTAACAGAAATATTTGTTTTGACTTTCGTTTGTTTTGATTAATAGAGGGCGCATGGGGTATCGTAGGAAAATAGCGATGGAAACCTCAACGGCCAATACCTAAACGCTAGGTTTACAAGCTTTTTTTATTTTGGCTGTTTGGAACAAAAGGCCAAATTAAAAAGCTATTTTACCAAACACCCTCATTGGCTGATTGATCTGGTCAAATGGCCAATATTGGTCAAATCAGCCAAAAAATGGCTGATAGGCCATTAACCAAACACCCCCATTAACCATTTGTTACTACCTCCGTTCCCATTTTAACTTCCAAATGGGTTTGACACAAAGTTTAAGATAGTGGATATTGTGTGGTGGAGAGTTGTGCAGAGGAGAGAGAAATGTGTAAGAAATGTTGTGAACCACAAATTCTTTACCAAAAAGGGAAAGTGGAAATTTTAATTGGAACGGACGAAAAAGGAAAGTTGGAAGTTTATTTAGGAACGGAGGGAGTATTATATTTGGTTCGGCGTTTAGGAGTATTTTTATATTCTTTGTATATCCAACCTCCTACTACGGTAAAATATAAGGTACACCCAGTGTTCTAAAAGGCGTGAGGCGTGCCAAGACGTCGAGGCCAAGCCTCAAGCCTTTGAAGCCTAGGCGGGAATAGGCGAAGCCTAGGCGGGAAAAAGCGTTTTAGATTTCTATTGATAATTATTATTTTAATACTAATATATGAAGAAGAAAATAAATGTCCAAAATATATTATACAAGATTGAGCCTAATATATTATAAAAAGTGCAAATACAAAAGGATACATTGTTGTTTTTTACTATTCCATATTAGATTACATATATAACATGTTTATAAAAGTACTTTATTTTTAAATTTAATCAGTTTTTATTAGCAAAAAATATTTCATATGGAAAACTTTCGCCTTTTCACGCCTTTTCACGCCTAGGCTTCGTCTTTTCACGCCTTTGGTGGTCAACTTTGGAGTTGACCGCATTTTCCACGCCTTTCTACAATGCGAGGCGTTTCTCCGCCGCCTCACGCCTAGGCGCGCCTAGGCCCCGCCTTATGCCGCCTTTGAGAACACTGGGTACACCCCGTAACCCCCGTTGTACCGTGTCACTTGGTACAGTAAGATATTTTTGTAATTAGTGGTAATCTAAGGGCTATTAATTAAGAAGTAGGAGATATGCTTTCTTTATTTGTCTTCCGACTTCCGTTGCTTCTTTTCAAAGTTTTTGATCTTCGTATTTGCTTTTCAAACTTTCTTTATCTTATTTCGTTGCTTCTTCTCGTTTTTTCTTTTTATTTTTTCTTCTTGTTGCTTTTATTTTTTCCTCTTGTCTTTTCTTTTAATTTTGAAATTCAATTTTCCTAACATTAATTTCCTTTTTCTTTTATCTTTTCCTTTAATTTTGAACTTTAAAATTTCTAACTTTATTTTTTCTTTTTCTTTTTTCTTTTATACGGAGTATAGTCTCTGCTCCTCTAATTTTGAATTCCTATTTCTTTTTTATATTTTTTTAATATTAAATTACTAGTTTTTTCATTACTATATTTGTCATTATATGTGCACAAATGACCATTTGAACATTAGAAATTCAAACAAGCTTTTTAATTTTTCAATTCTCATTTAATAAGCTTTGTACGTTCATCTAGTACTGGTTTTATTCTCATTTTAAAATGTCATATTAATGCATATTTCAAAAATATCATATTAGATTCGCATAAGAGTTAGATTGTATACATGAGAGTGGAAATTATGATACTCAGTTACATGCTTCTGATACTCAACAAAAGAGGTTTGATGTACAATAAAACTACATTGGTGCTCAACTAATAAATCTTATGATTTTCATATCATTGTTCATTGTATAAGTATTGTATAAGTAATGTATGTTCATTTTGTACTGGTGTTATGCTCATTTTGTAAGTTACATATGTTCATCTGGTATTGGTTTTATATTCATTTTAAAATGTTATATCAATAAAAAATACAGAAATATAAATTTATATAGTGTGATTGATTCTTAATTCAAAGAGGGAATGTACAAAGTGTTGAATAATATATTGTTACGTATGTTAAATTCAGTGAGTATAAACTTGAAAGGAATGAGCAAACAAGAACGTATACCTGAGCACACTATAAAAATACATACTCAATAGAGGGGTTTAATGCTCAATGAAAATGTGTTGATACTCAACTAAAAAAACTTATGATTTTCATATTAATGCTCATTTTGTAAGTCATGTATACTCATATGATAAATTATGTATGCTCATTTGGTACTGGTGTTATGTTCGTTTTAAAATGTTATGTCAATACATATTCCAAAAGCACTATATTACATTAGATTCATGTAGGAGTCGATTATAGATACGGGAGCACAAACCAGGTACTCAAATGCATGTTTCTAATATTCAATAGAGATGATTTGATGCTCAATGAAAATGTTTTGATGCTTAATCAAAAAGCTTATGATTTTCATATGAATGCTTATTTTGTAAGTTATATATGCTCAATTGATACTAACGTTATACTCATTTTTAAAATGTCATAACAATGCATATTTCGAAAGCACCATATTACATTGTATTCGCATGTTGAAATTAATAGGAATTGATTATAGATATAATTTAATGAGATTTTATAAAATAAAAAATAAGAAAAAGAAAGTGAATTACAATATATGAAGTTGATATCACAATACATTATTCGACTCTTAATGCTCACTAGAATATGTCTGATGCTCATTAAAAGTGTATTAATGTTCATCTAACGAAAACCGCGATTTTCACTGAAATAACGAAAATGCCACCGTTTTTTAGTTGTGATATCAGCTTTCTTGTAATGACATGGTTCTCATTGTTAGACTCTTAATGCTCATTAAAATTAGATTATTGCTCATTAACAGTACACTAATGCTATTGAGCAGAAACCAGTTTTCACATTAATTACAAAAATGTCACTGGTTGTACAGTGCTCACTGTACAGCCGGCTGTACGGTATGCACTCCCCAACTACTACAACATGTTGTTTTTAGGGCTATTGAAATTTAAAATGGTACTATAACTTTATGGTTGATCACTGTCCGCATTGCTTTTATAGAATACTATACTTGGTTGGAGGGTTTTGAAGGAAAGGGAAGGAAAGTGGATGGTTCGGATGTGTTTGGTTGGAGGATGCAGGAAGGGGATGAAGTTGGATGACTTCCAAAATCCCTCACTCTCTTGAATTTTGAATCAGGGTATTGTAGAGGAAAGTTTTGCCAAAGTCCTTCTTCTCCAAAGTATATTAGAGGAAAGTATTTGAGCGTAACACTATTGTTGATGGATGTCCTAATCGTGAGTGCCATAAACAGTTAGAATCCTTCGCGGTGACTGGATGTGCCAAAACGGAATCTAATGCATGAAAATAATAAACTCCCCCGTGTCTTTTACCCGCTCCGATCAACATCCTCGTAGGCAAGTCCTATATCACACAAAATTGATTATTAAAATATACGGAGTATATCACAATTAAGATCATCTATCAATCATGCCAAAGATATCAAGTTGCATGCAAGACCTAGAACTAATAAAAACATTTTGGAGTATGATATGTGGACTAAGATTCACTTGCCCTGCACTCGTGACATGGGTTATATAACCATTAGGAAATGTCACAAGTATTGGTTCCAATTTACTAGCAAAAGTCAAATAACTAGAGCAATCAGTCATATGGTAAGAGGCTCCAGAATCAAGGAACCAATCAACTTGAATATTCGTACCATAAGCTTAAGAAATGTTGAAGATGGAGCCTTGTTTTGAATGCAGAAGCAGATACCCGACCGGGTATGTTGGGTTACCCGACCGGGTATGCGGAAGCTTTTGGTCTGGTAACTCTCTGGAATGGATACCCGGCCGGGTATATGTGATTTACCCGACCGCGTATGTTGAAGTATGGACCTGGGAAGAATACCCGCCTGACTACCAGACCGGATAGCGTGGAAGAAATCCCTCTGGAACAAATACCCGATCGGGTATAGGAGGGTACCCGACCGGGTATGCGGTAAAATAGAAGTACGGATTTTTATTTTTGGCCTGCGGCTCTTATTATTGTTTAGGTTTTTTGAAACCTATTTAAACATCTTCTTGTACCTATAAACCCTGACGCCGACATAATAATACACTATTCTCTCTCGTTCGTCGTGGACTAGCACAATCACCCCGATTGTGTGAACCATGTAAAATTCTCGTGTTCTTGATCTTTAATTTATCATTTCTAATTCGTAACAACTAGTATCATAGCTATGGCTGACGAAGGGAAGGTCAAAATCGATAAATTTGATGGTCAGGATTTCACTTTCTAGAAGATGCAGGTCGAAAATTATCTCTACCATAAGAAGCTTCATCTACCCTTGTCTGAGCACAAACCAGAAACTACGGCGGAGGCGGAGTGGAGCTTGCTTGATCGACAGGCTCTTGGTGTGGTGAGGTTGTCGTTGGCGAAAAATGTTGCTTACAACATCGTCAATGAGAAGACAACGTTTGGACTACTCAAGGCGTTATCCAACATGTACGAGAAATCCTAAGTGGCCAACAAGGTTTCCTAATCAGACAGTTGGTGAACACAAGGATGAAGGAAGGTGCATCCGTGACAGATCATGTCAACGAATTTAATTCAATCATATCCAGGTTAGGTTCGGTTGAAATTAAATTCGATGATGAAATTCAAGCATTGCTTTTGTTATCATCTTTGCCTGATAGTTGGTCCGGTACAGTCACAGCGGTTAGTAGTTCGTCTGGAACCACTAAGCTTACTTTTGAAGGTATTCGAGACTTAATCCTTGGTGATGATATTCGGAGGAGGAATTCGGAGGTTAGCTTCAATAGAATGTTCAGTACTGAAGATAGGGTCAGAAAATCCACCAAATGGGATAAAAGGAAAGGGAGGTCAAAGTCGATGAAGAGAGGTCAATCCAAGAATACGAAAGACATAAATTGCTGGAATTGCAAGTAGAACGGACACTTAAGAAATCAGTGCCCAAAAGCCTCTGCAGATAAAGACAAGAAATAGGTGAACATGGCAGAGGATTATGAGGATGTTCTGATTTGCAGTGTTGAGAATTCAACTGAGTCCTGGATCATAGATTCAGGTGCATCGTTTCATGCCTGCCATTGCGAGGAATTGATGCAAAATTCTAGGCCCTACAGTGGGAGAGTTCATTTGGCGGATGACAAATCTCTGGAGATCACATGTATTGGGGAAATTGTCCTCAGTACCACTTTGGGAACAACCTGGAAAATGAAAGATGTGAGGCATATTCCTGACCCGAAGAAGATGTTGATCTCAGTGGGACAGGTTGATGAGGAAGGCCATAATGTGAGTTTTGGCAACAAGCAATGGAAGGTAACAAAGGGAAAACTGGTTATTGCTCGCGAGAAAAAACAGGGTACACTACACATGGTTGAAGTGTCTGCGGATGGAGCTAATGAAGCGGTTGGAGATACAGAGGTCTCTACTCTGTGGCACCAAAGACTTGAGCACATGAGTGAGAACGGAATGAAGATGATGTCTTCAAAAGGCAAAATTCCAGACTTGAAGATTTCAAAGTTGAGCTTTTGTGAGCCATGTGTTCTTGGCAAACAAAAGAAGGTTACCTTTGTGAAGACAGGATAACCACCCAAGACTGAGAGGCTGGAGCTGATTCATTCAGACATTTACGGACCTACAAAGGTCTCCTCAATTGGAGATTCCCGTTACTATGTTACATTCATTGACGACTCTACACGGAAAGTATGGGTTTATTTTCTTAAAAATAAATCCGATGTCTTTAACACTTTTAAGAAGTTCAAAGTTGCAGTTGAGAATGAAACAAATCTTAAGATTAAGTGTTTAAAGAGTGATAATGGGGGTGAGTACAGTAGCACAAAGTTTGTAGAATATTGTGTTGAACAGGGGATCAGGATGCTGAAGACGGCTCCAGAAACACCACAACAAAATGGTGTTGCAGAGAGGATGAACAGAAAATTGAATGAGAGGACAAGGAGCATGAGATTGCATGCAGGACTTCCAAAGATGTTCTGGGCTGATGCAATGAACATAGCATCGTATTTGATCAACAGAGGACCCTCTTCTCCCATAGGGTTCAAAATTCCGTACTTTTTCCTAGTAGATATCATCACACAAATCAACTCACATGAAATGTTGAAATAGATACAAGAAATTGTATACGTAGTACTAAAATTCACAAATACACAAATAAGGCAACACAACTAAGAAAAAGTATAGCAAAACGATGCCGCACGAGATAAATATCATTTTTAATTTACTAAGTTCATGTGAAAATATAAAAACGAATATCATCAAATTGTTGAATATAATAGAAATCTTCAACGTTCTTCTTCGTTCTAGGTTAAATATTACTCCGTAGTTCTAATTTAATTTATAGATGAACCTTGAGAGTTAAGATTTAAACCATATTAATTAAGTCGTAAAAATTGCACAAACATGATACAACAAAAAGTCATGTACACTACATTACTAGAAATAAATAATCATTAATGATTTCTAAAATTTTAATATTCTTTCAATACATACCAAAATATAACATAAATTATCTAAAAAGAAAAAATAACAATATACGAAGTATATAAACAACACATTTAGATATCTTAGGGACACATGAATACATACTTGGGGTATAAAATTGTTAGTCTATAAAAGATATCTATTGATATAGAAAAAATATAAAAAAAATTCAAATGCATTATTTTTGAACGGTTCGGTTCGGTATTTTTCGGTTCTCAAAATGTAGGACCGATCCCGTACCTGTTCAAACAGTACGTTTTAGGCACGGGATAAAAATATATAGAACCGTTTAAATACCCGGTATTCGATTCAGTACCATTACAGGACGATTCGGTAAGGGTTCTGTTCGGGTTGTATGCTTATCCCTAGTGGCTATATCCGAGATGGCTTCACAAATGTCAGAGGAAGAACTTCGCAGAGCACATTCGGATTTAACACCTCCTTTCTACACCTTTTCGTCCAAGAAAAGGACTCTACGTTTTTTTGGAAACATATGTTCAAAACCTACACTTATTTTCTCAGCAGTTAGTTTTTCTATACATCATCGTTCTACGAAGTTTTATATTTCTGCCCAAATTCCTTTGACCAACACAAAAACAACATGAACATGGGTTCAGACGACGGGGAGGACATTGACGCGCCGCCCTCTCTGTGCGAGACCGGGTGCGGCTACTTCGGAACGGCTGCGACGAAAGGGCTCTGTTCCATGTGCTACAGAGATCATCTTGCGAAGGAAGCGGAAGCCAAGACTGCGATGGAAAAGATCACATTGATGGCGCTGCCAAACCTGAGAGTCAGAGTCAGTCCATCGGCAGATTCCGCCGTCAGCCGCGACGGGTCGCCGCCTCCAGCGCCGCGTGCGTCGGATAGCTGCTGGAAGTGCAAGAAGAAGGTGGGGGTGATGGGGTTCAATTGCCGGTGCGGGTATGCTTACTGCGGGTCCCACAGACACCCCGAGGTGCACGATTGTTCCTTCGATTTCAAGGGCCAGGGCCGACGTGTTCTTGCCATGGTCAATCCTGCGGTCAAGCCTGATAAAATCTTGAGGTTTTGATGGATCCAGATCCTCTGCAACTGCTGCCTCGAGATACAAGAAGAGAAACAGGGGATTCTGCAGGGCTCCCAATGAACAGATTTGATTTCTCAATTCCCTATCTCTTTTCTTCGAACTTATTTCTCCACTATTATACAATATGTGTTCATCTGGCTTTATTAGTTAGGTAGTACTCCTATTACATTCCTGCACTATTATTGTTTATTACGTTTAGGCTTTAGAAACAATTTCTTGATAGGAGTAGAAGATAGGCAAATTCTCAAATAGGATCATCTTTTTTGTCTTCCTAAAATATGATTGATTTACTCTTCAAAGTGGGAAGCTTTATTCTTTTTTTTTGTCCTGTTTGTGAATTTTGTCTATTTTTTACTCTTATTTGGAATAATATCTTTAGGCTATTTTTTTCATGCATTTTATGTCTTTCAATTCATTTTTTTTGTTTCTAAAACAATGTTAGGTATTACGTACTATATAAAAGTATAAATATTTTCTATGTCTTTCAATGTTTTTTAAAGTTTCTAAAACAATATTAGGTGTGAAATATGTAGTATATATATTAGTTATATATACTACACATTTCTTGGTTAAAGGGGTGATAGATGCCACGTAAAAATTACTTGATTCAGCATTATTGCGTGCATTTGTCTATTTTTTACTCTTCTTTGAAACAATATAGTTACGCTATATGTGCATTTTTATGTCTTTCAATTCAATATTCTTTTAAGTTTCTAAAACAATATTAGGTATTAGGATATAAAAGTATACATGTTCTCTATGTCTTTCAATGGTTTTTAAAGTTTCTAAAACAATATTAGGTATAAAATATTAGTATATTCATTAGTTATATCGGAAAAGATCATGTCGAGCCATCCGGACAGGATCCTCCGTCCGGCCGCCGCCGTTTGGGGCGGTTCTCGATGATATTTTTTGATGAAATTCTGTGAGCATGTTCTTCATCAAGTCTAGTTTATTCATACCAAATCTCAGCTAAATATTAAATCGGGAAAGCAGTCAAATAAGTTTTTGAAAATAACTGTGTTTTATATGTATATTTTTTGCGCAGTTATCTTCACAAAATTATTTGACTGCCTTCCCGATATGAATTATTTAGCTGAAATTTAGTATGAATAAACTAGACTATGAGGAATATGCTCAAACAAATTCATCAAAAAATTCGACCGGGAACCGTCCCAAACGGCGGCGGCCGGACGGAGGGTCCTGTCCATCCGGCTGGACAGGATTATTCCTCTTAGTTATATATACTACATATATCTTGGTTAAAGAGGTGATAGATGCCCACATAAAAATTAATTGATTCATCACTATTATGTGCATTGAAATGAATCTGTTTAAACATTGCCATAAAATTTATATAGCTTAGGCTTATGCTGCAACACTTGGAATTATGGAATTGAATTGTATATTTACACTTGGGTATGCTCGTATATATAGAGTTACAATTAGGAGATGGATCAAATAACTAACTGGATAAGTATGACTAATAAATAAATACGTTAGACAATTGTTAAGATTATTACAAAGGCTTCTCTTATCATGCATTCATGCCCCCACAAGATGGAAGTGTGGGAGAGAACTCCAATCTTGGTATGTAACTCTTGAAATCGCCGTCGAGAAAGTGGTTTGGTAAGAGAGTCTGTGAGTTGATCATCAAAGCAAACATAAGTGACACTAAGGATACCATCTTGAACATGTTCACAAATGAAATAATAGTAAAGTGCAAGATGTTTCACGCGAGAGTGAAAAACGGGATTAGCACTAAGATGAGTAGCACCAACATTATCACAATAAATAACAGGTTGATATTAGCCAGCGTATTTCAGCAGCCGTTGATGCAGCAAACATGTACTCGGCTTCTGTAGAGGAGCGAGCCACCGTTCGTTGTTTGTGAGAGCTCCAGGAGATGGCGTTGACTCCAAGAAAAATAAAAAATGCCCATGTAGAAGTATAATCATCTGGATTGTCAGCCCAATCAGCATATGAAAATGCTTGTAAAGCAAGAGGAGAGGAACACCGAATAAATAGACAATGATCACTAGTTTGCTGAAGGTACCAGAGTGTTCGTTTTACAACTTCCCAGTGTTCATCAGTCGGATGATGCATGAATTGTGTAAGTTTGTTGACACCATATGATAAATTCGGGTGAGTAAGAGCCAAATATTGAAGACAACCAACGACTGAGTGGTAAGCTTCCGGGTCAGGTAAAGACTGTCCAGAATTAAGTCGTAGCTTAGACTGAGGAGTAAGTGGTGTATAGACAGACACCTTTACAGGAGCCCTTATTAGTGCAAGCAAGAAGATCCAAAATGTACCATTGTTGTGATGGAAGAATACCATCGGGGCGAGAGATGACCTCAATTCTAAGAAAGAATGATAAATCCCCAAGATCCTTGAGAGAAAAACTCTGGCCGAGAGTGAGAATGAGCTGATCAACAATAGAATAGGAGCTGATGGTAATTAGAATATCATCAACTTATACCAGCATGTAAATAGTGGCACCTGCATGAGAATGAATAAATAAAAAGAGAAGTGTCTGCTCGGGAGTTGAAAAAACCAAGTTGAAGAGGAAAAACTTTGAGCTTATGGTACAAGGCACGAAGTGCCTGTTTGAGGCCATAAATGGCCTTGTGTAAGTGACATATGTGAGTACGATGAACAGAATCAACAAAATCAGGAGGTTGCATCATGTAAACTTCATCATAGAGATTGCCCTATAAAAAAGCATTGTTAAAACCAATCTACCGGATCGGCCAACCACGGCTAACCGCAAGAGACAAAACTAAGTGAATGGTGGTAGGCTTGATAACCGGGCTGAATGTTTCAGTATAGTCCACTCTGGGGCGTTGATGGAAACCGTTAGCCACAAGACGAGCTTTGTACCTGTCAATAGAACCATCAGGTAAGCGTTTAATACGAAAAACCCATTTAAATCCCACAATATTTTCGCGGCATGTGTGAGGAACAAATGTCCAAGTGCCATTGCGAACAAGAGAATTAAATTCCCCTGACAGAGCGCGTCTCCAGTTGGAATTGGAAAGCGCTTCCTTTACAGTACGGGGTTTAAGCACAGAAGGAAGAACACATATTTAGGTTTAGTTTTGTATGAGACGGGATATATTATTCATTAGCCAAGTAATTACTCTTCTGGGAAGAGGAATAGATGGGCTAGGAGATGAAATGTGACATGAGGAAGAAGGTTGCATGCATGGTGTGGAATGAGAAGAATGTTGACATGAGGAGATGAACTCGGATGAGGGTAGAGAAGTGGCAGAGGGGGTATGAGAGACAGACATGTGGATGGGTAAAGAAGAATTAGGAGGATGCTGAGTCAAACTAGTTGGGTTACTTAGTGGTGGCCAAGTGTGAGGGAAAATAAAGTGAGGAGATTCCCAGGGTACCTTAAGTGAGGGAGGTATATGAGGGGTCAGTTGGGTTTTTCAACAAATACAATGTGACGGGAGATAAAAATATGATGGGTGACCGGATCAAGACAAATATAGGCACTTTGAGTGAGGGAGTAAGCCATAAAAATGAAGGCAATGGAGCGATGTTGTAATTTGTATTTAGTGTAAGGCCGCACCCAAAAGTAACAGACACTCAAAAGTATGAAGTTTAGTATAGTTGGGAGTAGGTTGGTTTAAGCATTCATATGGAGAATTGAATTGAACACTGTGTGTAGGAAGACGATTTATAAGATAGACTGCAGTGGAAAAGGCATAAGACCAGTATTGTGGGGGTAAGGAAGCTTGATAAAGTAGGGTGAGACCGGTTTCAACAGTATGTCTGTGACGACGCTCGGCATAACCATTGTGCTTGAGAGTATGAAGAGGAGAGGTAAGGTGGAAGTAACCAAGTGTGGTAAGGTGAGGTGTGGTGCTTTGAATTCTCCACTGCTATCTGAGTAAAAGGTTTTGATTTTATGATAAATTTATTTTCAACTAGGGGACGAAATGCTTGAAAAGTGGAAAGGACATCAGACTTATTTTTTATGGGGTAAAACTAGACATGCTTGGTATAATATATGATCAACAAAGATAACATAGTATTTAAGACCATCAAAAGAAACAACAGGAGATACCCCATACATCTTGAAAAATAATTTCAATAGGATGAGTGCTCACAAGAGAAGAACTAGTAAATGGTAATTTATGACTTTTGTTACATTGACAAGAGTCATAATTGTGATGGTGAGAGGATGCACCATATATTGCTAATTTAACCTAGATAACACGTGACATAAAATAGAGGATGAGGGGTGACCCAGACGTTGATGCCAATTGATTGGAGTAACTTTAGTTCCAGAGAAGGCTTGGAAAGGGAAGGCGGAGAGGTGGGCCATTCATAAAGGCAATCTTTAACTTGCCTTGAATTAGTGATGCCCCCGTGTTGAGACCCTTAACACCAAAAGAAGACGGTGAGAACTCAATAGAAGTATTATTGTTAATTCATTATTGTTAATTCATAATTGAGAGACGGATATACGATTTTTACTAATAGAGGGAACACATAAAAGATTGTTTAAGTGAAACGGGCTAGTAGAAGAGGAAAGAGTGCTAGAACCCGTATAGGTAATAGGAAGGTTGTTACCGTTGCCAACTATGACCTCATCAGTGCCAGAGTTATGAGTATGCAAGGCAAGATTATCCAGGTTTAAGCTGATATGATGCGTAGCACCGCTGTAAAAAATCCAAGGAGTATGAGGAGCCGGGCCAAGTACTCCGGCGTTAATAACATTGTGGGCTTGTGGAGACTGCCATGGTGGTCGATAAGACTGCTGGAAGGGGTTTGAGGCAAATTATACCGTGGGATCGGCACACCATGCTCAAGGTGTACCGATCCCAAAACTACATAGTTTTTGTTAAAAAATTACGGAAACCCTCTATGCTCCTTAACTACTTCGTCGTTTTATTTTTCTCCATCACCGTTTCTATACATCTTCATCTCTATTCTCTGACTCTGTACAACGCACACAATGCTCCTCCCCAATTGTCTTGTAGTGCATATGGGTCTGCCACAACATAATAGATTTATTTCATGTTTCCAACATTCAGATTTTTCTTTTTGAATGGACATTCGAATTTCTATGCACTCAGAACAAATTTATCCATAAAAACTAACATAAATTCATTTATTGGTCAAATAAACACATCCATATAGAAAAATGATTTTTCTTAAAAACATTTTTATGGTCTTAATATTAAAAACAAAACGTATTATATGTTTTGAACAATTAAATTTCTTGTTTTCATTGTTTACATTTGATATTATATGAAGTTAATCTTCTTATACGTGGGTTACATCTGTTTATGCATGGGTTACATCTCAATGTACGCGAGTTACACCACGAAATAAACCTCTGCTAATGATAAAAAAATGACTTTTTTAGCTATATCATTTTTCATAGCCCTAATATTAAAAATAAAACATATTCACTATTTACAAAAAGTAATTGGGCAATTAGGATCAGTTTTTCATTGTTCACATTGAAATCAATATTTTAGATGACTTACATTTCAACTTGACTCAAGTTACATTTCCTATCAACTTGAGTTACATCTATTTAAACGGGAGTTACACAACCCTGCTACACACACACACACCGTATAAGAACTCGGGGTTTGAGGGATAGCCGTTATTAGAGAATGACATAAGCTTGAAGAGAGGGCAGTTGTGAGCTGTGCGTCCCTGGTTGCAGCAGGCTTGGCAGTGACCAAGATAGGGACGGGGGTGATCTGGAAGGAGTTCCAGAAGAATTTGAAGATGAACTAGAGTCAGATGATCGGCCAGGCTGAGAGCTACGTTGTGAGGCAGAGTGCTGGCCACAACCACGAGTCCTATTAAACGGTGTGGATCCACGAGAGGCAGTGTTGGCACTTGGCAGTAACACAGAGAAAAAATAGGTTCATGGGTGTTTTGTTGGAGTTTTAGGTCTCGGTTGACAGGTTTCTCATGCAGTTCAGTAAATGAAATACAAGATTCTCTTCCTTCCACAGCATCAATAACAGGCTTGTAGGCATCATCAAGACCATCTAAAATAATCTCAATAAAGTCTTCATGATCCAAAGTTTTGCCAAGAATAGCAAGTTCATCAGCAGCGGTTTTATGAAATGTTTTGAGCATGTTCTTCACCAAGTCTAGTTTATCCACACCGAATTTCAGCTTAGAATTCAACTGGGAAGACAATCAAATAAATTTTTGAAAATAACTGTGTTTTGTAAATATATTTTTGCGCAATTATCTTGAAAAACTTATTTGACTGTCTTTTCGATTGAGTTTTAAACTCAAATTTTGTGTGGGTAAACTAGATTTGATGAAGAACATGCCCAAAAATTTTCATTAAAGAATTCCAACGGAAACCACCTCAAACGGCGGCGGCCGAAAGGAGGGTCCTGTCCATCCAGCTGGACAGGATCATTCCTCATATATATATATACACTATAGATAATTGCTAAGATAATTATCTAATGTAATTATGAAGGATTATCTCTTATCATATGCAACCCTCTAAAACATGTTTAATCTATGGAAAATAACTTTTTCATAAACATTTTTGAACTAGTGATGAGATATGATCATAATATATTGATTTATTTTGAAACTATTTCTTTGAAGTCATGAGAAGATGGCAGCTACCAAAATATTTTCAAATAGCTCTACCTTTTGGCATTATGTTTTCAATTTATGCCTCAAGCTCGTATTTCCTAATGTTTAAATCAAAATTTTATGCTCTTTCAACTAACACAATTGAAGCAATCTAAAGTACATCTCATCATATGTGTACTTCCCTCTCTATTTCTTCATCCATAATAGTCTCAATGAATCATTTTAAACATGGTAATAAATAACGCAACCTAGAAAAGTATAGCTTGTTTGTCAACTATTCCTATTTTATTTCACCACATACTAGATAGAAAGTTAGAGAATAATAAAATAGTATGGAGCATAAAATAAACTCACAATGCAAAAAAAAAAAAAAAAGTAGGATGGAGCATAAAATGCACCTACTAAAAAGTGAGATGGAGCATAAAATGCACTCACAATGCAAAAAACAAAGTAGGATGGAGCATAAAATGCACCTACTATAAAAGTGAGATGGAGCATAAAATGCACTCACAATGCAAAAAAGAAAAAAAAAAAGAATGGAACATAAAATGCACATACTAAAAATAAATATTCACTAATTTTCTAGCTAGTATGTGGGGGAATAAAAGAGAAACAGTTGATAACATATATATATTTTTCTTAGTTGCATTATTTAATACAATGTTTAAAGTAGTTCATTGAGACTATAATGGATAAAGAAAAAGAGAGAGGGGTACACATGTGATGAATTTTACTTTAGGTTGCTTCAATTGTGTTAGTGAAAAGAGCATGCAGTTTTGGTTTAAACATTGAGAAACATGAGATTTTGGTATAAATTGAGCATATAATACTGAAAGGTGAAGTTGCTTGGAAATATTCTAGCGGCTGCAATCCTCTTAACTTAAAAGAAATTGTTTCAAAACAGATCACTATTCTGTGATAATGTTTCAATCACTACTTTCATATTACTACTATTATTTGCCGCAATGAGAATGTCCTGAACAGGGCAGACACCCTTTGTTTTGAAAATAAAATGTAAAAATACATGTATAGAATTGATGTAATAATTTATACGTAGTATATTATATTTTCTATATAATAGTTTTTACCCTTATTTTTCCATCATTTGCAATGGAGCTAAAGATTCACTATTTTTTGGCTTGGGAATATGATGGAATAAAGCAAAATGACTCACTAAACTGTCTGCGCTTCTTTGTTATGAAGCACCAGTCAGTCCATGCAATTTTCGACGCGCTTTTCACCTTGGGTCATCCGGAAACAGTCTCTCTGTGCTTTAGTACAGGGGTAAGACTGTGTACATTCGAACCCCCATACCCCATCTATGTGGGAGCCTTTGCGGCACTGGGGTAATGATGATGATGTAATATTTTTTACCCTTAACACTTTTTGCTAGTTTTTGTTGTTGAAAAACTACATTTATTCAATTGTGAGATCAAACATTATTATTGTGCAATATTTTAACCATGAATTTTTTTTAACACCCAACTTTCGGTTGCAAGATCTGCCACAGGTCCTAAATCATATACTTTGGGATTAATAATACTTGAGTCATTCCTTCAAAAAAAATACTCAAGTCATAGTATAAAGATAATAGCAGCAGAGCGCTAAAAGTACGAAAAGGTCTGGTTTAATACATCCGCTTCAATTTTGTTTTTTATTCATGTCTTTTGATAAAAACTTTGCAGGGAATGGGTTGGAGAAGTGTCAACTGTCAAGTTTTGTGAAGTCAGAAGACTTGCTCTAGTGGACCTTGAAGGAATTTATGATTTTATGGTTAAAAAAGTTTACAATAAAATCTTAATTTTGTGGCTGCTACTACTGATCTTGGAATGGACTTCATCTGCAATAAGAAGCTGTCAACTGTGGATTTCAAGCAGCAGCTAATCCAGCTATGCATCAAGAATCTTAATAGCTGAAGACAAAAAGCTATTCTAAGAGATAGAAGAAGGGGAAGGAAATCATAGATTTAGCTTTTCTTGTACTGAGAAACTGTATATGCTATATATGGCACACAACTGTATATACTGATCATTAATCCAATAAATTTTTCTCTCAACATTTTATCTACACATGTTTCCTTATTCAGCTAATGGTTCCTTCTTTGAAGTTGAAAAACTATGCAAGACCATCTCTGCAAATCTTTAAAAAATGGCGGTGATAACATTAAGTTCAAAGCCTTGAAATAGAACACTCATAAATCATTTTGAAGAAGTTAATACTACGTATAACACTGCACAAAGTTTCAATAGTGACCAACTAAAAGTGAAACCAATAAATAGAAAACAAATTGAATGTTAAAGATATTAAACTCTAGTCCCTACAAGACGTTGGATTCACACCATATACCTCAAAGGCCGTTGCATATGGGAGGTGAATGCTCAGAGATTCCCAGTTGATGGAAAAAAAAATCCGCCATAAAGGACCTGCTCTTGACTCACTTCCAGGGACACGACAACACCATTGCAGGTTTCCAAAATCTTAGCCTCAATGGAAAAATATCTTCTTCTAAGGTATATGATATTTTGCGAGCTAGAGGCCCTAAAAGAGTTTGGATGCCGTTCATTTGGAGGAAGTACATCCTGCCGAAATTCTCTTTTATCACATGGATGGCCTGTAGGGACAGACTTGACACTTTAAATAATTTGAGCTATTTGAACGTGATTAATATATGTTCATTCTGCCAGTTACAACAAGAGTCAGTAGGGCATCGTTTTTTACTATGTCCTTTTTCTGCAGGAATTTGGCTGGAAGTCTGTAAAGGTTGGGAATTAAGAGAAACATGTCTACTATTGCAAGCTCCATCAAATGGATCAGGAAAGAACGCGGGGGTGCGAGAATATGTAACAAAGCAGTGTCCATTGCCTTCTGCTGCGCTGTTTATACCATCTGGCAGATCCGGAATTCAGTGTACTTCGATCATACCAGATTCTCTCCCCAAGCTGTTCTTACAAAAATTAAAGTTTTGGTTTATAGGATCTTACTTAGCATGTATCAGACTGCCACAGTTGACTTTTGAGCTTTTGTGGAACATTTTCTTTTGGGAGAACTATCAAATAAACCATCGAACTTACATAAAAAGTGCAAATAAGCCCTTTTATAGGAGGCTTTGTTCAACCGTCGCCATTTGGGGCGGTTTCCGGTGGAATTTTTTGATGAAATTTTTTGAGCATCTTCTTCATTAAGTCTAATTTTTCCATACCAAATTTCAGCGAAAACTTCAATCGAGAAGGCAGTCAAATGATTTTCTGAAATATACTGCGTTGTTTAACTGCGCAGTTATCTTCAAAAATTCATTTGAGTGCCTTCCGGATTGAATATTTAGCTGAAATTTGGTATGCGTAAAATAAACTTAATGAATAAGATGGTCAAAAACTTTCATCAAAAAATTAAACCGGGAACCGCCCCAAATGGCGACGTACGAAGAGAGCCTCCTATAAAAGAGCTTATTTGCACTTTTTATGTAAGTTCGAGAACTTATTTGACACTTCTCCCTTTTCTTTTTTCTGCCAAATGTTTGGCTTGTGTTTTATCTTGTTAGAACTCTGCAATTCCACACACAATCGCAGAATTTACAAAGAACTCAATCGCAACTTTATTCACGTAGGCAACAATGAGCTGAAGCCCCCCAACGATAGAATACAGCTCCTATCTTCCCAGAAATGACAATAGTCAGAAACAACCTACTAACAATCTCCAGTCTATTACTATTTATAGTATGTAAGTAACTACTCTACTAACCGGAAACAGTTATTAGCTATCAACAAATATAACTAATAACTAACTCTACTTTCTTCTAGAATATACTTTGCCAAAGTATTTATCATCTCCTCTCGGTCTAGTAGAGTCTCTAACAATACTCCCCCTTTGAAAATTCAACTTGTCCTCAAGTTGGAAGACTGGAAATTGTTGCTTGATGATGTCTTCCTTTTCCCAAGAATCTTCAAAGTTTGGAAGGTCTTCCCAGTGTACCAAAACTTCCTTCTCTCCAGCAGCATTTATTGTGACATCCTTTATCTTCTCAGGTTTGACCAATAACTCACACTCCTCTGTCATCCCCACTGGAAGATCTTGGTATGTATTAGTAGGCTTCAAAACCTTCTTCAATAGAGAAACATGAAACACATGATGGACTCTACTCCCCACAGGTAACCTTAGCTTGAAAGCCACTGGGTTAGTCTTCTCTAGGATCTCAAAGGGTCCATAAAATCTGGGACTTAATTTCTGATTGCTCCGGAGGGCTAAACTCCTCGTTTTGTATGGTTGTATCTTCAAAAACACACTGTCTCCCACTTCAATCTTCACTTCCCTTTGTGCTTATCTGCTTGTTGTTTCATTTGATTCTGAGCCTTGGCCAAATGCTCTTTCAATTCCCTAAGCATCTCATTTCTTTCTGCTGTCAGCCTTGAAACCTCCTCCACTGCTGATAAGCCGAGTTCAGCCCAAGGTAACCATTTAACCCACTGTTTTGGTTTCCTCCCAGTCATACATCTCAAATAAGTCTCCAAGCACTTGTTTACTATCTCAGTTTGTCCATCACTCTGGGGTGATAAGCTGTATTATACTTCAACTTAGTTCCAGCTGATTTGAATAACTCTGACCAGAATGTACTCAGAAAAAGGCTGTCTCTATCACTCACTATAGATTTAGGGAATCCATGAATCTTCACTATCTCCTTCATAAACAATTCTGCCACTTCCTTAGCATGATAGGGATGTGCTAATGGCAGAAAATGTGCAAACTTGGTTAACCTATCAACCACCACCAGAATGGTATCCTTCCCCAATGATTTAGGTAACCCTTTAGCAAAATCCATACTTATATCACTCCAAGTATGAGTAGGTATAGGCAATGGCTGTAGCAACCCAGCAGATTTTAGAGCCTGATACTTGTTTCTTTGACAAATATCACACCCCTGGACAAAGTTTTGTATCTCAGATGTCATTCCCACCCAATAGAATAGATTTGAGATTCTTTTCATGGTTCTGAAGTATCCAGAATGACCTCCCACAGCTGATTCATGGTATTCCTTCAATATTTTGGCTATTCTGCTAGACCCCTGAGGAATTACCAGTCTCCCTTTGAAATACATAATCCACCATTGATCCTATAGTTCTTCACCTTGTCAGGCTGAGTTAGGACCTTCTGAATTAATCCTCCACACCAATCATCCTTCTCCAATTCCTCCTCTAATCCTTTCCATTCTTGACAGGTGACTATAGATAAAGAATTTACGGTCATCTTTCTGGAAAGGTCATCCGCTGCTCTGTTCTCCACCCCTTGTTTGTATCTGATAGTAAAATCAAAGACCATGAGTTTGGTAATCCATTTCTGCTGATCTTCTCACATAGCTTTCTCCTCAGTAAGGTATTTCAAACTCCTTTGGTCAGTTAAAACCTCAAATTTCCTTCCTAGAAGGTATGGTCTCCATTTCTGGACTGCAAATACTATGGCCATTAATTCTTTTTCATAAACTGACTTCAACTGGTGTTTTGGGGATAATTCCTTGCTCATAAAGGCTAGGGGTCTGCCTTCTTGCATCAAAACATCACCCACTCCTTTCCCTGAAGCATCAGTTTCTAAGGTAAACATTTTAGAGAAATCAGGAGTACTCAGCACTGGTGAAGTAGTCATCACAGTTTTCAGTTCTTCTAATGCCTCTCTTGCTCTTTCATCCCAAATGTATCCCCCCTTCTTCAATAAACTGGTCAAAGGTGCAGCAATCTTACTGTACACCTTGACAAACCTCCTGTAGTTGCCAGTCAAACCCAGAAACCCTCTCAAACCCTTGATGTCCTGTGGTTCTTTCCAATCCACCATGGCCTCTATTTTACTGGGATCTGCAGAGACTGCTTTTTCAGAGATAATGTGACCCAAATACCCAAATTTTTGCTGACCAAAAGAGCATATCTTAACATTTGCCACCAGTTTATTACTCTTTAAGGTTTCCAGAATCTTTCTCAAATGTTCTTTGTGCTCCTCAATAGACTTGCTGTACACCAGTATATCATCAAAAAAGACTAGAGCAAATTTCCTTAGAAAGGGTCCGAGGATTTCATTCATTAAGGCCTGGAAAGTGGAAGGAGCATCGGTAAGCCCAAAAGGCATTACCGGGTATCCATAATGGCCTTCGTGAGTTCTAAAGGCAGTTTTGTGGGTGTCACAAGCCTTCATTCTGATCTGGTGATAACCAGATTTCAGATCCAATTTTGAGAAGATTTTAGCTCCACCTAACTCATCAAGCAACTCTTCAATCACTGGGATGGGAAATTTATTAGGTACTGTTATTTTATTCAAGGATCTGTAATCTCCACAGAACCTCCAGCCCCCATCTTTTTTCTTGGCAAGTAAAATGGGGCTGCTATAGGGGCTGTTACTGTTTTTGATTATTCCAGAATGTAACATTTCCTGAATAATCCTTTCTATTTCATTCTTCTGATCATATGTGTACCTGTATGGCCTTAGATTGGGAATGCTAGCTCCTTCCTTGATGTTGATGGAGTGGTCACAAGCCCTTTCAGGTGGAAAGTCCAACTCCTTTTTGAATACTTCAGGAAATTCTTTCAAAACATCTTCCCACTCCAAGGTACCTTCTTGATTCTGCTCCTGTTCATTTAACCTCCCTTCACAGTATAGAAAGTATCCATCTCCTACTTGCTGAATGATCCGTGTCATGGTTCTTAAGGACACTTCAACATTATTAAGGATTGAATCACCCTCAATCATGCACTCTTGCCCTTCTTTCTTCCATTTCAATGTCTGTTCTTGGAAATTGAATTCCATATTCCCCAATTTTGTTAACCACTCCAACCCTAGAATCATATCTGTCCCCCTAGTTCTAGGACATAAACAATCTGATGAATTTCAATCTCTTGCACTGTCAACTTCAACCCCACACATTTGCCATTGTTCTGAATATACTCTCCATTCCCAACTTGGACCTTATACCCCTTGATTTGACCATAGGGAATGTCCCATATATCCACACATTTTTGAGATATGAAATTGTGTGTAGCCCCACTATCAATGAGTATACTGACCATCCTTTCTCCT